AATTCCTTTCCATTACTCAATCATGTTCTATGAGCAAGTATGTGGTTTATTTTGGAGAACAACCCATGTGCAGCTGAAAAGAATGTGTATTTTGATTTTGTGGGGTGGAACACTCTGTAAACACCTGTTAAGTTAACTGTTCAAGAGTGACTTCTAGTATTTCATTGTTTATTTTTTGTCCGGTTGATCTATCTATTTGTGACAGTGGGTATTGAGGTCCCCCACTACTATTGTATTAGTGCTTATTTGATTTTTCATGTCTGTTAGTATTTATTTTATATAGTTGGACACACCGGTATTTGGTGAATATATATTTATGATTGTCATCTCTTTCTCTTGGATTGTTCCCTTTACAAGGATGTAGTGTCCTTCTTTGTCTCTCTTAATCATTGTTGGTTTGAAATTCATTTGATCTGCAAAGAGGATAACTACTCCTACTTTTTTTTTTTTGGGCGGGGTTCCTGTTGCATGGAGTATTATTTTCCACCCTTTAACTTTCAGTCTATGAGTTTCTGTTCTTTTCTTTTTTTTTGTTTTGTTTTGTTTTTTGAGAGAGGGTCTCACTATGTAATTGAGACTGACTTGGAACTCACTACGTAGCCCAGGCTGGTCTTAAACTCACAGCAATCCTCCTGCCTCAGCCTCCCAAGTGCTGGGATTATAGGCGTGTGCCACAACACCTGGCCTGTGAGTTTCTTTTTGAATTAAATGTGTTTCTTATATGTAGCATATTGTTCAATCTTGCTTCTTGACCCCTCTGCCAGTTTATTTCTTTGATTGATGAATTGAGACCATTAACAGTAATGGTTATAACTGATATGTATAGACTTATCCATGTCAAGACTTTTCCTTTTCTTTTTTTGGATTCTCCCCCTTTGCATTTAATTTCTTATCGTGCCTGATGGAGTTATTCTGCTGGACTTCCTGGGGTTGTTATCCTTAACATTAAGGAGTTTAGCTTGGATTAATGATAGGTTTCTTAAGATTTAAAAACCCTGCAAATGGGCGGTGCATTTAGCTCAGTGGTGCTGTGCCTGCCTTTCAAGTGCAAGGTCCTGAGTTCGATCCCTGGCACAACCTCCCTAAAAAAAACAAACCAATAAAATAAAATAAAACCCCTGTAAATATGGCCAAATTTGGTTTAAAATTTCTGCTTAAAATAGACAGTAGGAGTAAAATTAAAAGACAAGCCACAGACAAAGACTTTTGGAGATCCCTTTTGCTGACTGACTCTAGAAATTACTCTTTGTCCAACTCCTTCCTCTCTGATGTTTTGCCCTATAAATGCTAACTACTTTGGCTTCTTCCAATCCAAATTCTGTCTGCTCAACTTAGACTAAATTGGACTTTCTCTGGATTCTGTGTCCTTGTCCTGGGTATTGGAAACTCACCCTGGCAATGAGCTGGACAGTCTCAGAGGGCTGCTCATTTTACTTTCTTCCTTCAAAATCACCATCTTATACCACCTTTTTCATCATTTTACATATTCTGTTTGTTTTTCTAGTTATTTAAGATGGGAGGTTGTATTGGAAGTGGAAGTGGCCTTAACATCCTTTTTACATAACTTATTAAAAAGCTATGAAGTAATAGTGTAAAACATGGGGCTGGGAAGGATAAACACAAAATCTGAGAGAGGAATGCCTTAGAGGGAAAGAGAAGAAAGAAATTGGTAATTTTTGCAAGCAACAATGGCAAAATTTTAGAAACCTTTGAAGATTAGTGTTAAGCACATAGACATTCACTGTGCTGTTTTGTATGTTTGAAATATTTTATAATGAATATAAGGATATAAAAAGAGTCTAAAGAATATTATTTAAAGGGCATTTTAGAAAGACTGACAGGTGAAACAGAGTCATGAGTGTTTCTGCAAGCTAAGGCAGAAGGCACTGTTGGATGGGGGCAAAATAGTAACAAACAGAGATGGAAACTCCTTCCCTACACTTCATATCTTGGAAAGGCCTGTGACTTCCTTACTGGTGCTTTCCTACTGGTACTTTCCATTCCTGGACAAACTTTTATTTGATGAAACCTTTCACACCCCAGCTTCCACAAACACCCCCAGTTACCTGTATCTCCACTCTGGGTCACCACTGCCTAGTTCTGGAAGACTGAGCTGTTGGGTCACTGTTCCTCTCTCAGTTATCCATATAGATGACCTTGGCCATAGTTCCTTGTGCTACTTTCCTTTGATGATTATCTCTTGCCTTGGTGTTTGCATGAGCTATGTGACTGGTCTTTTCTTCATGGTCATCCCTTACCTCATCTGTTTTTAATCCCACTAGCTGGAGACATCATTTCAAAACCCTGGGTCCTCTTCAAGTCCTCTGGTGGCTGCTCATCATGCTCAGAGGAAAACCAGACTCCTTTCATTGTCTTCAGAGCCCTACGCAGTGTGGCTCCCACCACCTTCTCTTCTATTGTTCTACTTATCATCAGGGGCCCTCTCAGTGCTGCTGGAACTGACTGAGTATACTTTTGCCTCAGACCTGCTGCTCCCTCTACCTGGAACGTTTTTACCCCATATATCTACATAGTGTCTTCTTTAATCCTTATGTCTTTGTTCCTCCGTTGTTGCCTTCTTTACGGGGCCTTCCCTGACAGCTTCATTTAATAATGTCTTCTCCACCCTTACAGTACTCTCTCTCTCACACACAGCTTCTTTTCCTCCTCATTTATACTACACAGTTTATTTTTAAATTTTGTCCATTGCCTGTCTCCTTCCACGGGGATAATCTCCATAAAGATAGGGATTTTTATTTCTTCTATTTACTGATGTAACACAAGTGTCTGGAACAGGGCTGGGAGCAGAGAAGATGAGATCACTTACTTTCAGAATGACTGGGGGCTGCCTGGGCTCACACAAGGTTATTCCACGGTTCCCTTCCCCTCGCCCGCCCATCTGTGGCTGCCCCCGCCCCAGGCACCTTCTGTTTTCACAGCCACTGTGTCTGCACTCATCTTTGCTCTGTCTTAGTCCATTTGTGCTGCCATAACAAAACAATAGGAGACTAGCTAATTTGTAAAGACAAGAAACTTGCATTTTGCAGTTCTGGAGGCTAGAAGTCCAAGATCAAGGTGCTATCAGGTTTAGTATCTGATGAGGGGAGCACTCTGCTTCAAGATGGTGCCTGTGGCCATGTCCTCTGGAGGGAATGAATGTTATGTTCTCACATGACTGAAGCACAGGAAAGAATGAAACCACTCCACCAAGTGCTTTTAGAAGGACTTTAATCCCTTCAGGAGGGATCTGCCCTCATGACTTAACCACCCTGGAAAGGCCTCACCCCATAAATCAGTACTAATGTCACCTAAGCTTTTCTTTCCACACTAACATGGCTAAGATGCATCAAAAGCTTACTCCTGGGTCCCTGGTAGTCCATGTGGGTGTCCCTATCTGTGGATGGCTCTTCATGTGGGGATGCAGGGATACAATCGGACTGCCACTGTACTGCCTTTGGTACATGTCTTCAGAGTGGCTCTGGTTGTCATTGTTCCAGCTGTCATTTTGTTACAAAGCATGATGGGGAATAGGGATTTGGTGGGCACATACGAATAGTATTTGTCATCTTTATCATCATAGCTTTAGGAGCAAGCACAAATCTCAGTTGACAAACTCATAGGTGCAAAAAAATGCAACTTTGCTTTTCTAAAATATAATTTCTATTTTTAGTCTCAATCTGCCAAGATGGAAGAATTTGTATTTTACTAGTTTGGGGGATCCTTATTTCCTCTTTTCTGGCTGTGTGCGGGCTCGGGGGAAGGAGTAAATAGTCCCCAGTGGCAGTGACTCACACTGGCACCATGGTGATGGCCATCATCTGGACTAGGTCCTGACCATCAGCCAAGTAAGGAGCTGTGATACGCTTGCACTGTTTGATAATAATGGCACCAAAATTAATCACAATATAACCAACATTTACTGAGCACTTAGTGTAGTGTATGCCAAGCCCACCACTAAGTGCCCTCTATTTTTAACATCTTTATTAATTATAACAACTCTACGTGTTTTTATTTTTAATCTCATTTTCTGTCAGAGCCACTGAAACTTAGCAAAGTAAAGGGACTAACATGGGTCCCAGTTAGCAAGTAACAGAGCTGAATTTCAGATACAAGCCTGCACCCAAAGTGCAACCAATGTATCTCCTGGCCTCTTTGCAACACCCCCGGTGCCTCACTGGCCAAGAGTGGGGCTCTTCCCTTCCCTTCCCTTCCTGGTGGGGACAGGGTGCCACATGATACTTCCACTGTCAGCCTCTTCCTTGGAAACTGGCTTCCCCCTCTGCTTCTGCACTGGCCTCTCACCTCCCTGTAGATTCTTAGCCTCTGTCTGATTCCCTCTTTCAGCTTAGTTTTAAAAATAAAATACAAATTTAGCCAAGAGTTCATACCACGAAAAGGGAAGAAGTGCTGAGCACCAGCAGCAACCAGAACCTGGAAGTTAACACCCCATCACTGGGTACATAGGCTTTCTTTCTTTCTTTCTTTTTTTTTTTGTACTGGGGATCAAACTTGGGACCTTGTGTTTACAAGGCAGGCAGCAGAACCACTGAGCTAAGTCCCTGGCCCTACATGGGCTTTTCTAAAGAGGAAGGGGACAGAGGCCCCTTGGGTTTGTGCTCCTGGTGGTCTCCAAGCTGCCTCTCCTGACCACCACTCTCATGCTGAGGCTATATCTTCCGGGCTCTTCCCTAAGCAGGCAATGCATTTCCCATCAGGTAGAAGGCCTGTGGATTCAGGGAGGCCTAGCTCCTAGCTATCTGATATGCGAGGACTACTACTTTGGATTAACAAATTCCAAATACTATATGGGTCCACTTTAAAAAGTTAGGTATCTAAGGTTCACATCATAGCATGGCTGGGTTAGGTTGAATTGACTAACTCAGGCCCAGACTTTTTGGGAACAGTTCATTTTTGGGGGGCAGTGGGGAGTGAGTAGAGGAAAGCCAGACTGTGGTACAGGGGGCTGTGAGATGTCTCAAGGACCTCATGTGTCTCCGCAGGTGAGGATTCCATCAGCACCTTGGGCCTGATCCTTGGCGTGGGGCTGTCATTGCTGCTTGTGTCTGTCCTTGGCTACAGCCTGGCCAAGTGGTACCAGCGTGGCTACTGCTGGGAGGGTAAGTGAGCACTGGGCCTTGTCACCCCAGGGCTGCCCCACCCCTCCTCCTTGTAGTAGATGGCAAGGCTGGGAGGGGCAGCGAGCCCTTTAGCATGGTGGGATGCAAAAATATTTCCTGTGGTGGTTACAGTGGTTGTAGACTTGAGTGAGTGGCTAAGCAGCTGAAGTGGTTGGGTGGAGTTAGGGGGCCTTTATCAAGGGAACGGGAGGGTCCTCCCACCTCAGAAGCAGTTGGTGTCCTCTTCCCTCACAGCCTACAGGAGTTCATCCAGGGGCGCCTGTGTGGGCCCCAAGGCCAAGGGCAATAGAATGGAAGCCAAGCTTCAACTGGCCCTAGTCTGACTCCTTGTGTATTCCTGCCCCCGTCCATGAGTCTTGGCCCTCTTTTAAGCCTGCTGATGTTCCAGCTTCCCTGGAAGTTTCCTGGAATTTGCTGTGTGGTTCTCAACTCTGAGACTTATCTGTACTTTGCACAGGACCCCGGGGAAGCTGGAAGGGCATGTTGGCATGCCAGGAGATGGATAAAAATTTCCAGCTCTGCAGTTAACTTAAACAGATATTTCATCCATATTTTTTGAGCACCTAGTATGTGCCAATACACTTTGGCCTAATATAATTTCCTTTAAAATTCCATGTGAGAAAGAAGTTATTTGAGCCTTGGTTTTTTAAATAGATGAAGACATGAGGCTAAAATCTCAGAGTTGGAAAGTGGTGCAATTTGGATTCAAGCCTAAATCTGGTTCTCTGGGGCTCTAGACTAAGACTGCCTCCTTCTCAGGGTATCAAGCCTTCTAACAGAGGGCCTTGAAAGAGCTGGGACCCTCCCACAGCATCCTGCGGCCATCCTACTCCTCTAAGCAGGGTTGAAGAAATTTCACATATTTATGCAAGGGAAATGGCAGGTTTCCTTTGAGGCACTCACTCTTTTTTTCCCCCCCTAGGGCCTAATTTTGTCTTCAATTTGTACCAAATTCGGTGAGTAGCTCCAGGGCAGATCTGGATGGGGTGGGAACTGAGGAAAGAATCAAAGACAGAGCCATAATTTACTATTTTCTTCCCTGTCTCTTCTTTATGCCCCAAAGCAAACCCAGAGAGAATCCTTTTAGAAAATTCCATGCATAAACACTGGAACATGGAAAGAACCATGTGGAATCCCAATGACAGTGATCATTTTAGCATTTACTCTCAGGCAGGGAACATCTATCCATTTACCTACCCACCATCCATCTGTCCATCCGTCCATCCACCCATCCACCCATCCAACCATCCATCTTTTCTTTATTCAATAAGGTTGTATTGAAGTCAGTATTGTGGTATTCTTTTCTAAGAATATAAAGATAGTTAAGCATAGTCTTTGTCCTCAAACATTTCACTGTCTATGCTGGCAACAGGCCTGATTACAAATAACCTCTGGCACCATGTCATAAAAAGGGAGAAATTGAAGAAAGTCAGAGATTCAGGAAGCAGGAGTCAGAAAGTCCTCTTGGAGTAAGTCATTTCACCTGCTCTTTGTCACAGGGCTGGCCGGTCCCTCCTCTAGCCCTGAGAAATGAGATAAATCTTATTTGGGGGTGAATACTATCAATGATAGGATGGATAGATGTTCCTTGCCTGAGAGTAAATGCTAAAAAGATCACTGTCATTGGGGTTCCACATAGTCCTGTCCATATTCAAGTGTTTATGCATGACAGTCTCCCCACTGCCAGAATTTCTTCCTATATTCTAGTATAGGAGGAGGAATTCCAGGAAGAGACTAGATTCTCAACTGCTGAAGCTTGATTGGATGATCTTTCTCAGGAATCTAAAGGACCTGGAGACTGAGCCACCATTCACCATCAGTGGCCACATTGGCAGTCCAGATGGTGGTTACATGAAGTTCTCCAATGGCATAGTCTGATGGGGGAGGCATCTGCCATCTGGAGCCTAGGAAAGGTGAGTAGGAAAGTAGGAAAATAGTGCCTGAGTGAGTCTAATATCCAAGAAAGGCCCTAGGAAGGTCCAGGCACACATAGCACTAAGGACCACTCAGAACCCAGAGATTATCACACCCACCCACTTCTTGCTCAGGGGAAGCCTGGCCAGATGAGATGGTTTAGAGGAACCTTTCCCAAGCCTTCTGTCTTTCCACTCTCCCTTTCTTTTCTGTAGGAAAAGGCTCCTGGCTCAGCACCCATCCCTCCTCACTGCCTCCCTTCCTGTGCCTTCAAGACCTGGCCTGCCTTCTTGTAAAGAGAACAAGAGGTCTTCTCTGGATACTCCACCAGCTTGCAACGTGAGAGACCCAGGGAGAGACAGACTCTGGGGACAGACCTGGCTGGGCTCACAGAGACTCTAGAAGGCCCAAAGCCTGTAGGAAGAAAGCCAAACCCACTCAGCCCAGTCTAGTGTGGGCAATGTCCTTAGGTTCCAGAGGAGAGCTCATCATAGGACATTCTACATCATTTGTTTTTGTAGAGTTGACTCTACAGGCTGGAAAGCCAGTTGTATCTTCACTAAGCAAAGTTGTTTGGAGTTGGAGGTGATTTCAGACATGGTTTTTTACCTTCCCACTGAAACCAACTTCCCTAACAACTGATCTTGGCCTTTATTTTGTTCGGTTCCCCTCTTGGTTTGGTTCTGCCCCTTGCTATCCTTCCCACCACCTGGCGCCTCCAAACCTCCCACCCCTGTCCCCAACTTGGGCCTGTTCTCCCTACTGTGACAAGTCTCAGGTCTCCCAAACTTGGTCAGTTCTCAGTTTTGATGGGTAGTGCTGTGAACAGTCAAGAAGCATGTCCTTTTTTTTTCTTTCAGTACTAGGGATCGAACTCTGGACCTTGCATTTGTGAGGCAGGTGGCAGAACCATGGAGCTAAATCCCCAGCCCAGCATGTCCCATTTTCTAGGCTTCTGTGCTGGTGTGGCCATGGGGCTTGGGATGGGCATGGAGCACAGGGTGAGTTCAGTGTCTCCAATGCAAAGGCTGCCTCGTGAGGCAAAAAGGGAATGGTGGGGTAGGGAGAGGAACCCAGGCAAGGCTGCACAAAGCAGATAAGGGCAAAGGAAACTAAGAATGGGTGTAGTTGGCACATAAGAGAACATCCGTCCTCCTGAGTCATCACTTCCTCTGGCCTGAGACCCAAGCACTAGAAACAGAGCTGGCACTGGGTTGTGGGCTTAGTAGGAGCTTCATGCAGAGTTGTTCCACCTGAAAAGGCTACATCCCTGGGCCAGGTATGAACAGAGGAGTGCATGAAAAGGGGACTGCCACTACAGAAACCTGCATTTGAACCACTAGCCACTGTCCTCTTTGCCAGTGTCCCAGCCACAAGTTCAGCAGATGCAGCAGTGAGGGAGGAGAGCTGTCATATGATTGGCCTTTCAATTCTCTTTCCTGTGGCCTTGTTTCTTTCTGGCTTTGGGCTTTAGTAGATTGTAGAGGAAGGAAGGAGAAGGGCCTTGCCAACTCCTCCCTCATTCTTTCCTGCCAGGGTCTGGGAGTCATTCTCCCAGCAGGATCAGGCCCTGACTTAACAGAATGAAGCTCTGGGTTTGGAAGGCTTTGTCTGGGGCTTCTGTCCCTGAGTAGGTGGGACTGAGGAAGAGGCCTTCTTGGCTTTGGTCCTGTCTTCCTTGAAAGCCTCTTGGGAGAGATAGAGAAAGGGGAAACAATTGCTTTTGCTTCTCTTCTTCCTTTGAGTTCAGCTTGGAGTTCTAGGCCCCTTTTTCTAACCCATGGGGTATCCAGTCCCAATAACCCTTTCTCCCATGCCCTGCTCAGCATGGTTCCTGGGACTTCTTTCCCCACTAGGTCACGTGAGGGCCGCTGATGGCATTCAGGACTCAGTGGCCATTGGGAAACTTGAAAGGTGGCAGGACCTTTGCTCAGGTGGTCTTTGTCCCAGGTCTGGTGGCTTCAGGTGAAGACACAGGGACAGCTGCTGAGAGTTGGGAAAAGAGAGGGTATTTCCCATCTTCAGTAGCGGAACTGAGAGTAGGCTACTTCTCCTTTCAGGGCCCTCTGACGTGTTTGAAGCCCCTTCCTCCCTCCCCCATTTTCCTTACTTCCCCAGTGCTGCTTGCACAGATTTCCTCACCCTGGGCTAGACTCCACCCCAAGGTGCCATGTGTTTCTGTCAAGGGCTCTAAAGGAGCAGATTTCCACTTATTCAGAAGTGATTAAGGAGCAGATGGCCTGGAACTCCAGTTGCAGGGCTGCTGGGCTGCACCCTGGATGGGCACCTAGACCCATGGCCAAGCCAGGGCCTCCTAGCACCACCTCCCCCTCCTCTTAGCTCTTCTTGAACCCACTGACTCTGTGAGCCAGGAGCTTTTGGGAGAGCCTGTGGGCTCCTGCCATGAGTTCTCTGCCTCTCTGTTCCTCTGGGCTATCGCCAGGGCTGTGGTCCACCAGCTCTACCTCTCCTAGCCACAGCTAGTCTCCATGGAGTTACTCAAGTCCTATCTTCCCTGCAACTTCCCTCAGGCCTAGAAACTCCATGCCACCCATTTTGGTCCCAGTTGTAGACAGCCATGCTTCCTTCATTTATCCTGTTCTCCAACCAGGCTTAGCCCTTTGCGGGCAAGGCTAGGTCCCATACAAAAGTCTCTAGTAACCCCTAAAACTGAGGCACACAAGTAGGTGCTCAATAAATGCTTCCTGAGTAGAGAAGAAACACCCTTTGTGGCCATAGAAGATTGCCACATCCCCAAAAGGGTGCCTGGTAGACTGAGGATGAACACACTGCTTGCACAGTACAGTCTGTAGAGTGCAAACCATTTTCATGCATGTTGCTGTGTTTTGAGCCTTGTGCCCACGCCGTGACACAGAGATTATTGTTGGACCCACTTTACATATGTGGAAAGTGGGAGGTTCCGAGAGGTGGCGTGGTTTGCCCGTGCGTGGTTCCACAGCTGCTCCCTGGCTGCGCTGGAGCCTGTGCAGAGACTGCGGCCTCATGGACACAGCCTGACCTCAGAGCTTAGCAGAGTGGGGACTGAATGTCGCACAGGGCCTGGTTCTGACCCTGCCCTGCCATGCTGAGTGGCCATGGGCTAGTCACTCCTCCTCTCTGGGCATCTATTTCAGCATCAGGAAGTCAAGATCAAACTATTTCTCTAAGGCTCTTCCTGGCTCTTAGCTGGTCTGTTTTATTTTATTTATTTTTTTTCTCATTAACTTTATTGGTATATTTAAAGTAAACAATAGTTACATTTATCATTGGGATCTTGCACCTTTACATGATATATTTTGGATCTTATTTTTTTCCTATAGCCCTGCCCTGCCTTCCCGGCCTTCACCCTTCCTTATTCACAAAGACTTTGTTTCCATTTTTTTTATTTTTTCATATTTTTTCTTTTCCCTTATTTCCTTTCCCCTCTTCTTCCCACTTCCCCTTTATCCATTTTCTTCCTATTTCACACTATCAATTGTACCATTTGAACCCTCATAGCTGGTCTATTTTAACATTTAAAAATCTCTGTATTAGTGCTTATGAAATGCCCCTGGAGACAGGAGGAACTCATTAAACAACTCAAAGACACAAACATGAAGTGTAGTTCCAGTTTGATTTCTGCAGTTCCTCTGAGCCCCAGAATCTGGTGTAGGACTCTAAGTGCTATTCAGCCTTTCCAGGACCCCACAGAGATCTGGCCAGGACCCAAGACTGGATCACTCCCAGACTAGTCCCTCTACCTAGAGGAAAAGGCCAATGTTTTGGGGGCATATGCTTAGCTTTGCTTCAGCCCCATGTGTGCACCGAAATAATTTGTTCCAGGCCAGGCAAGAATTTAGTTTCTTTAGAATCCTTTGTCACTTACTTCTAGCCTCAGTTCAAGTTGAGAGCCACTCTGAGATACTTGGCCTCCAAGAAACCAGCTTCTCCCTTCATTGGGTTCTAACCTGCTCTGGGTCCCCTCATATGTAGAGCAGAGCTCACGGGAGCCCTGGTCTCCTCCAGTTCCATCCTTAACTCTGAGCTTCTCATCAAGCCATTCCTCATTCTTCCTTTTTAAACAATTTTATTTGTTTATTTATTTGTTTGTTTATTAATTTAAGACAGGTTCTCATTAAGGTGCCCAGGCTGGCCTTGAGCTTGCAGTTTTCCTGCCTGTCTGCAATGTTGCTGGGATGACAGGCAAGTGTCACTGTGCCCTGTTTCCTTTTATTTATTTATTTTTTAAGTATATGTGCTTCCAAGTGAGCACATCCTTTTATTTTTTTATCTCCTTGATAATCTGGGTCAGCACATTCTGCCCATTCTTTGTGCCAGCTCAAATCTCACTTCTCAAGGGACTCTTCTTCAAGGTACATGCATCTAGCTCTCTTCTGATTTTAATACAAATACTCTCTGGCTTCCATAATTTAATTATTGAGTATTTCTTTTTGTGCATGCATTTGTCCAGCCTCTATATGCTAGGTACTCTGTATGCTAAGCACTATGAGGGAATTCAGTCTCTCTGGAGATGAACCTTGCTCCTGTTTTCTTGAAGGCCAAATCAGGGCATTCTATACCTCTTCTGAGTTCTCTGGTTCTAGCCATAAGCAAGAACTCCTCAGGAAGTTAGGTTGAAGGCTTTTGGCCTCTCCAGCGTATCCCTCCTGGACCACATCCTACCCTGTGCTCATGATTGATACATTTCCGGAGACAAGTCATGTGCAGATGGTGATCTGCCACCTAAATATGATCAAAACCCTGGTGAGGCCAAGCAGGTGACGAGGGGGCTCTTCGTGGTCTGGGTTCTCCTTCAAGTTTTCATCCCCATGCCAATTGCAGTGGAGGGGACCAGGAGACAGGAGCCAGAAGAACAGTCTGTAGTGACCCTCTCGTCTTTGGTATGAGAAACTCAAAGCAGGAGCAGATAGAAGTATCATTAGCATATTTTAAAAAACTGCTTAGTGATTAAAAACTATCTAGAAACAGCAATATTTGAGCAGATCTGGTACAAAACAGGAAACCAGTGGCCTGGTGAGTTCTCACACTTGGGGACCAGAAGTGAAAATGTTCTGCCTGCCCAGAGTAGTAGCAGGCTGACAAAACAAAGGTGGGGCCATACCGGGGTCAAGGTCTTGATGGACCCCTGTCTCCTGGATTTTCTCATATGTAATCATGGAGCTCTTGGGAGAAGATGGGTGGAAATTTTAAAAGCCTCATCTTCTATTCCTACCCCAACTCTTCCCCTTATAGCTAAAGGGCTCAAGTTCTCTGGGCCCTTGTTAGTATGAGGCTACCATTGATTGTGAGGACACTGAGCTCCTTCTGGCTATGAGGCTATTTCAGAGCCCAGGTAACTTCAATTCCTCAATGCTAGGCATAAGATAGGTGGTGGTGGTGGGGAGGTGAGTGGAGATGTGTGTGTGTGTTGTGTGTATTACAGAGTTCAGCAGAGGAGGAGAAGGATTGTGTCTAGTTGCCTGTGTATCCCCTGAGGCTGCCTATAGGTACTTAATTCTCCAGAGAGTGAATGACTGCATACATGCTGACTGTTCTCCTGGTCCTGGGCTTTATTTCCAGGCCACATCCCCTTACATTTGGCTTCCTATTTGCTCTGTAGCCCTGAGTCTCCATAACACCCTAGACATATAGGGTGAGGATAGCAGGAGAAGGAATAATTATGGTATCTTGTGATTAAGCTGAGAAAAAGATACAAGCCTGAAAAATAAAATTTCAAATCATACTTATGTTTAGCCTTCTTTTTTATTTTTTCATTAAGTTTACTGGTACTTTTAGGTACACGCTACAGTTACATTCATCATTGGGATCTTGTACCTTTACATGATATATCTTGGTTCTTATTTTTTCCCCATTCCCCTGCCCTCCCTTCACCCTCTCCACCCTTCCCTATTTACAAAGACTTTGTTTCCATTTTTTCCTGTTCTCATATTTTTTCTTTTCCCTTCTTTCCTTTCCCCTACCCTTCCCACTTCCCCTACTCCTTTGGACCCTTTCTTCCTATTTCACATCATCAGTTATACAACTTGAACCTTATTTACACCAGAGATACTATTTGGTATTTACACGTATGTCCTATTAATTTCACTTAATAGTATGGCCTCAATGTACATCCATGTGGCTATAAATTTCTCTAGTTTCTTGTTCTTTATGTGGACAGCGTTCTTTTAGGCTTAGCCTAATGTCTCCCAAGTTTCTCCTTAGCCTCAGTCAACTATCACTATCATTGTCATCTCATGTTGGATATTATACCTCTTCAACTTCTTTCTACTGCTTTCAAATGCTTCTTTTACATGAAAAGAGGAAATTATTCATTCATGCATTCAGTCAACAAAAATTTATTGAACACCCATCACAATGTGTTAGGTGCCACAATCTGCTGGGTGCCAAGGATACAGAGATGAATCAAGGGGCCCACAGTGAAATTGTTGTTTTTTCATTTTTTTGGTTTTTTGGGGAAGGGTCTCTCTTTGTAGTTCAGGCTGGCCCTGAACTCACTATGTAGCCCAGGCTGGCCTTGAACTTGCAGTGATCCTTCTGCCTCAGCCTCCTGAGTGCTGGGATTACAGGCGTGGCCACCCTGCCCAGCACAGTGAAATTGTTATAGGGTGATTTCTTTAGAAATGGCTCAACAGTCAAAAGTATTCTATGTCCTTCTTTCCTTGAACAAAGAATTGGATGAGACAAGCTAATAACACTGCCAAAAGTTTGCTTGAAAAGTGTGGGATAAATGAGTATGGGGAAAATCAGCTCTGCAGAGCCAACTTGGGCCAAAAAAAGAGAAAAAGAGGGCAAAAGCAAAAATAAAAGTACACGCTGTGTCTGAGAAAGATGGGGCAGGCTATTCTGGAAACTCATGCACAGTAGTGGCTTTCCATGATGGTCACTCTTTTTTTATGCCATCCACATCTAGTGGGAGCTTTCAAGAAATTCTACATATGGGGTCCTCAAATTACCCTGGGATCTTGTAATTAACATGTCCTGCTCATTTCCCCAGCCAGCTTTGCCATGCCCTATCTCCTACATCAAAATGAGCACTGAACATAGTACATTCCATGAGGGCAATATACACAGGATGTTAAGGAAGGAAATTGGCCACACCTACTTCCTCTATTTGACCAACAAGAAGACTGAGGGCCATAGCTGACCCGAAACTCATGTCCAGAGAATAAATAGAGTGGTGAGCCATGAACACAGATCTTCTGAGGGCTGAATCACAGCAGAAAGTTTCCCACTCCCTGGGGCTGTTGCCTCTTCCTCTTTTTTGGGGGCCATCTGCAACCCAACCACCTAACAGAGTCCATTAGGCTAAGCAAATGGACAGACAGCCCTCCATGTGACCACCATGCCTTCTTTGCTCCCTGGCATCAGACTGTAGAGTGTTTGCTCCATTACTTATTCTGTCTCTTCACCCCAGCTTTGAGCTACAGGCCCAGGTCATATAGCACCTGCCACATGACTCAATTTTAGAGTCTTCCAAGCTCCACTTAACATATCATGCTAGATCACCCATTGCACTCCTTTAGTTCAGCACAGCAAATGCGTGTGCAACACTGCTAGGTACTTCGCACTGTTCCAGGCACAGAGAGACTATGTCACACCAACTCTTTAATTCTTATAGACTAGAGAGGCACTGAAGTGCTCTATTAAAAGTACAAGTAGGGTCTGAGTGGACCAGAAAGCCTTTGCAGGGCAGGACACTTGAGCTACCTTGAAGGAGCAAAGTGTAAGAAGAACATTTGGGGTGAGGAGCTGCATGCACAGAGGCCTGGAGGCAGGCACAGCATGGCACATGGGGGAAGGCTGGGGTACGTGAGGGCTGGAAGGGAGAGGCAGTGAGGATGTGAAGGGAAAGAAATGGGAACAGAAGAGGAAGAGATGGGGATCCTGAAGAAACTTCTGGTTGAAGCTAAGATTTGAGTGTTGTCTCATAGGCAGTGGGGAACCACTGGAAAGTGGAATGAAAAGCCCAAATTTGCATTTTAGTCCCCTTAATTCAATCAGCAGTAGGGAAGGTTATTTGGAGGCAAGGGGTGCTGGAGGCTGAGAAGCCTCATTGACCAGAAGGTTGTGGTAAATGATCCCAATGAGTGATGATGAGTACTAAATTGGGTGGGGATGGAGGAAAGAGGAAGAGAGAATTGCTGAGGGGCTTTTGAAGGAGTGAGACCAGTAGGCCACCTGATGGTCAGCTTTTCCACCAGGGGAAAGGGGAAGGTGAGGCAGGTTCTCCATGATTCCCATGACTGTGTGGGTGGGAATGGCATTAACCAGGATGGGCAACACTGCAGAAAACCAAAACTAAGAAGGAAAAAATGGTGATTCATGCTTGGGCATGTTGGAGGAAGATGGAAGTGAGAACTCTGTATCTAAGCATGGAAGGAATGAGTCTGGGCTGGAAGTTACCAGCAGGTAGGAGTTGGTAGCATGTCCCTGGGGGCAAATCCAATAGAGAGGTGGAGACTAAAGTGTGCAGAGGAGTGGGGTGGGGGTGAGGGACCCCTGGGCTGTACAACAGCAGGGGTGCTGTTCCTGGTCTGTAGAATACACAGTGCTGTCTCTGGAGTTGCAGATGAAGCAGAAGCAGTTGGAAGAAGTCAGTGGGTGGACACTGCTCTTTCAAAGAGGTGACTGTGAAGGGTGGGAAAGAAGGAGGTGCTAACCAAGAAGTTTTCAGAACCCTTGGCCTGTCTTCTCCAAGGGTAGCCCAGAACACTGCAGCTGGGCCAAATGTCCTCTGTGCATGTCATTCACCCTGAGCACATTATCACAGCATACACAGCAGAGGCCTCTGATTCCCAACCTTGCCTACTCTCAGAGCCCTCCTCCCATTCCTTCCCTGGAGTACCCATTTCTGAGAGAGCACCAGCTTCCTTTGTGCTAACCAAGTCTCATCTCCACGCCTACTGCACATCATTTGCTTTCTGACTTGGCTCTTCTGGTGATGGCACATAGAAGACTGAGGAAGCAAAGAGAAGCTACAGCAGCCAACTGGTCCAGAGGAGAGGTAATAATGGACCTGACCAGGATGGCATGGCTGGGTGTGACAACAAATGATTGGAGCTACTCTGTCTGCAAGGTAGAGCTGGTTCCTGCCTGATGGATTAAAAATGTGGGGCAGAAAGGGATGGCTCCCTTCAGGGTTTTGGCCTGAATTTGGGGGTGGGTAGTGATGTGCTTTACTCAGAGAAAAGAGTGGGGCTGGAAAAAGAGTGGTTCATGGTAGGTAGGTTCATGCAGGTTGCTGTTAGGGATAATGTAATTTTGAGATTTCTGCAAGGCATCCAAAGGGAGCTGGTGGGAAGACAGTCGAGTAGTTTAGGGGGACAAATCCTGCTTGCACCCTTGGAAGTCATCAGTATTCAGGTGGCACTTGAAGGTACATACAAGGTTATACTGTGTAAGGGGAACAGAGACCAATTTTTGTGTGTCAAGTAGCAAATCATCGTGTTTTCCTAGAGGAGTGAAACATTTTCAGACTTAAGTGTGTACTGGAATCACCTATGACTTGATCACCTGTAACTTGTCTCCTAAAGCAGGCTCTTGGGAACCAGCATAAAGAAACTCTGGGCTTCTGGGAGAAGCCTAAGAAGACAAATACACCAGGTTCTTTTGATGCAAGTCAAGCTGTGAGAAACTCTGCCCAGGGGGATAGGATGAAGGGATGTGGGGAAGTAAAGGGCAAAGGACATTGTCAGGGCTGGGTCGACCAGGTAGCAGGATCCTGAAGAATGTTCTCTCTAGAGCCATGGTGAGGCCTTAACCTCTACCAACCCCACTTGCCTGTGCAAGTAGAGGAATACAGGTGTGACATCCTCTACCTACACTTTTATGGTCCTATTCCCACCCCGCTTCTCTGACCATGCCTGTGACACAGTCTCTCTGCCTGGTGGAGGGGATGTTTACTAACTGGGGCCCTTTGCTATTGCATTCTCCATGGTGGGCTGCAATTGTCCCAGAAGCCCCATAGAGAACCTGGGCTGGGGTCTGCACAACAGATTCCCAGCACAGGCATGACTCCAGCCACTCCACCAGCTGAAAGGACAAGTCTGCTCTTCCTCTAGGCAGGAAGTCATCAGCTGAACACCCTGCAGCATACAAGGCTGCAGGGGGCTCAGGCATTTTCTCCAGGTCCATCTCCGTATGTCCATACTCAGGGCTATGGGCTCATCCACAACATGGGTTACAGAGCAATGAAGGTCTTGTATTAGAATCCCCAGCACTGAGCCCTCCCCTGGTGTCAGGCCTGCCTTGCAAACAGCTGCAGACCTTTTCTTTGGATGATACCATCAAGCCAAGTTTACCATCGCCTCTCACCCTCTACACCCAGGTCTCCCTTCTGGGTCCACATTTCATGTTTATCAGCAGGATCTAGTATGATTCCTTTCACTCCAGCCTGTCTCCCTATCTTGCCTACTCTTTCTCTGTTACTTCATTGCCATTCCTTGCCATCACTCCCATTCAATATTGTCATTTGATCAGACTACTAAGCTTCTGTAACAGACTGAATGTTGATGTCTTCCTAAATTCATCTCTTGCTGTCCTAACCCTGTGTGGTGGCATTTGAAGATGGGGCCTTTGGGAGGTTATTTGGTTTAGATGAAGCCACGGCGGTGGAGCCCCGATGATGGAATTGGTGTCTATTGGGGACCAGCCAAGTCCCACAGCTATCTGCTTAAGGGCTACAGTGGAGGGTAATAGACAAAATTTTGTAGATAAATGGGGGACTGGGAGGTCAGTGTCTCAGACTCAGTGAAAGACAAAGACTCTCCAAGCCTACCACTATTTATTGAGTACACATAAGCAATCAGAGGGGGTGGTGAGTGACTCTAGGAACAGCGATGGTAGGTGCCACAGGCTAGTAAAAGAACAAATCATTCTTGTAGGACAGAGTATAAGTTTATAGAAAAGCTGAGCTTTCCCCTAAAGTGGAACTTTAACCTCTACTATGTTGTTCTAGAGTTAGGTCCTCAGCAGGTATTATCTTGGTCTATGATTATCACAGCTTTAGTGGCATCTTCCCACCCTGACCAGGAGGAAGTGGGATCTCTGCGTACAAACTAACCCCCAAGGCAAAGTATGGTATCGGCCCGGAAGTCCCCTCGCCTTAATTCACAGACCAAGGAGGACATGTATCCTTTATAAAAGGAGGAGAAGAGACTAGGATTCTCCTTCTCTACCACATGGAGACAAAGTGAGAAGGCAACTACAAGCTAGGAGGATGTCTTCACCAGTAACTTAATCAGGGGGCACCTTGGCCCTGGGCTTCTTAGCCTCCAGAAAGATGAGAAGTAAAGGCCCTTTGAGAGAGTGCCTGGGCTATGCTATCTGTTATAGCCAGAACCAACACAGCCTCCTACCCTGCTTCCTGCCACATCTCTCATGGAATATTAGTTTCTTTTACGGCACTGATCACTGATCGTAATGATGCGTTTTTCAGTGTGTCCATGTGCTTGATAATAACCTTTACAACCAGATGGTGCTCCATGAAGTGATGCTCCATACACAGGGCTGAACATCATGCCTGTCACCTGGTAGCTGTTCACTGAAGAGATGAAATGCTGACTATAACAAAAGCTTCCCGTCAGGTCTACCTGGCTCCTGCCTTGTGTCCTTTGATTCATGCTTTATGCTCTGGCCAGGGTCATCTTTTCTAAAACACTAATTTCATCCTACCCAGCTCTCCCTCACTAGAGTACTGGCTTGGTCCCATCACCCTTTTTGGATGTTTATGGGAAACTAAGTGAAGTTAAGATGGATCTCACAGTGAGGAAATGTGCCGTGGGTCATTAATAATAATGCATTGAATTTTAAGTTGTGGGTTTGCTTAAAAAAAAAAACACCCTCAACTCTATGAGCATTACAGGAAATGAATGAGTCAAGCTTCCTAGTATCGCAGGCCCTTTAGGCTGAGTCTTGATAAAATCAGTCCTAACTGCCTGGACCTCCCTCTCCTAGTTCTCAGCCTGCTGACCCAGGTGGGTACAGCCTACAGCTCCCATTTCCCTGCTGGCCACATGTGGCGCTCAGACAAAGTTCACCCAGTGGGAGCACAGTGAGGTGAGTACAGACCCCCCAGTGGTGAGCACAGACCCCAGGGACTGTGGGTTTCTGTGACCGTGTGTACATGGGATAGGATATCAAGGTATACTTGGGGGGACAAGGCAACTCCCTTGACCACTGTTATTTACAAATTCAGGAAAACACAGTTGAATAGAATTTCCTCTTCCATCAATGTTGGCCCATTTCCCCTCTCTTCTTACTAAGAGGAAGTTCCATTAGCTCATACAAACACAGAATCACACACTCCCTCAGTCTGGAAAAGCCCTCGAAGACGCTGCTCAGCTGATGAACAACAGGGGCCTTCTGTTGGGGACTTTAATACAAATTCCAGAGAAGCCTTGCTGCCCGGAAGAACTCTGTCAGTGTCTCCCACAGCCCAGGCCCTGACCTGTACTCAGATAGTAGCTTCAAGGCCAGGCAAGGAGCTAGCAGACTCCCATTCATTCCAGCAAAGGGAACAGGCTGGCATCACCCACCTCCCCTCTGTCCTGCAGGCTGCTCCACATGCTGTCTCTTTCAACCAAATCAGTTCCAGTTCCTTTTCAGAGGATAATTCTTATTATCTGCACCTTTATATCTACTTCTTGGTCAGGTTTCATCCCACCTGCCCCAGGGAACTCTTCCATGGGGAAGAAGCCATCAGCAACACCTTGTTTCCAGAGGAAAGTAACCTGCATCTCTTCAATCCTAACAAGAAGGTCTCCAGTTAGGAATGAGCAAGTCCAAGATGGTGTGGTATTAGCCAAGTTCTCTGGAGGGTTAGCACGGTTGTCTCTCCAGAACTGCACGCTTTCTCATAGTGAGAGGGGAGCGGCATGTTGGCGATGCTACAGGGGGAAAGAGATGAGGTGTCCCTGGTCACCTGCTCAGGCATTCAGATTGAGCCAAAGTGCAGCAAACCAGAGGCCCTAGGTTAGCTCAAGCTGCTGGGCTGAGCTTAAGGAGAGATTCAAACCCACGTGTGGCTTTTCGTGGAAGCAGCAGGCTGAGCAGGTCACAGCTGGCTTCCGCACTTATGAGAACCACCCAGGACACACCTCCAGGGCGAGGTAAGCAGGTGTGGCTCCAGGGAGGTTTGGTTTGTCCTTTTCCTGGAAGGGCTGGCCTCACGTAGTCTCCTTTCCATTGTCGGAGTGCACATCCAAAACACTGCAGTACTTTCCACTGTTTCCTTTTTGGTTTTCGGCAAACTCCTTATCTCTTTCATTTTCCATCTATTTCAAGAAAAGCTGTATATTTCTTTTACAGGGTCACCAGCTGTTTACACATAAAGCACCACATGCCCAGCACTGTGTTAAATGCTTGTATAGGCCATCTCACTTAACCTTACAACATGCCCAGGAGGAGCTACCATCTCTACCTTATCGATGGGAAATCAGAAACTCTGAGAGGTTGAATAATTTTTCCAGTCACAGCAATATGTGTTAGCACAGGATTTTGAAGCTGGATCTGTTTGATCTGAGCCTGAATCCTCACTTGTTTCCTTAAAGCAACATCACACATTCTTTTCCATATCATCCCCAATTATCAGCAACCAAGTCCTCATGAGAAATCTGTGTGGTTTCACAGGATCCCCACTGGTTCTAATGATTTACTGGAATTAAAAACACACACACCACTCATTCAGAGAGATCTGTGCTCAAGGCACATTCACATCCGTTTTCTTTGTGTCATTATGAATTCCACAAAACAAACATCTCTTCCAGTTTTTCAGACAAGGAAGCTGAGGCTCAAGAGAAGTGACTTGCCCAATGTCATACAACTAGAAAGAGTGAATGCAAAACTAGAACTCCAGGGTTCCTGAGAGACCCAGAATTCTTTTCCTGAACTATGCTGCCTCTTCAATAAATAAGTGAGCAAAACAAATAAATAAAACTGTCAAGGAAACCCTGAGCAATCCTCCCTTTGGCCCATTTCCAGAGGGAATTATCAGAATGGCACCATGAGCTTCTTGGCAGAGTGGCAGAGGTCATGGTGGCAATTCCTGGGCCAGAAGGCCCATTTTAGAATGCCACAGAGAAATGTAGAGCCAAGGATGGCTCTGGAGGGTATCCACAGGCATGTCACCCCTCCTAGTATCCTTGCCTGGGGACTGTAAACTGACTTTGTTTGAAGAGACTCTAAATGAATAGTAGGAAAGTAAGGCCCACATCTGCCCCTCCAGGCCCAGTGACTGGCAGTCATCCAGGCACAATACCAAGGACTCCTCCTAGATGTCAGCCCTTGGCACGAGAAGGAGGCTGGCTCTGGGCAGATGGGTTCCAGAGTTCACTTCTTTTAGTGCAGAGTCTGCAGGGTCTGTGTCCTAGGTCTCAGTCCCTTTGTCCCTCCTTGGGTCTGTAGTGATGTAGTAACTGTCTGACTTCCAGGCCAGCACAGACATACTTGAAACTCTTCCAGTGACGGGTTTCCTGCCTAAGAAGACCGCCGTTGGCAGAGCATCTCCCTGTGACCCACCGCTCCTCAGATCAAACTCTGCTCTGCTCCCTCTCTTCTAAAAATGACTCTTGCAGTCTCAGGGGCCCAGGAGCTCCACTTCATAGCCCTCCAACCTGCCAAAGGCCCTGACACTCGGCTGACCTGGAGAAGGCATCTGAGCTGACTTCAGCCTGACAGCCTCACCTTGTCTCAAGAAAATCCTGTGGTTCTTTGAGCACAGACTACTTTATGGTACAGAAAAAAGGCCCAAAGAGGGAGGAGGTCTCTGCCTTGCTCTTCTTGGCTCTGCCAAGGTCTGCAGGGCCCACTCAGCAGATCAGGTCAGCACCATCTGTGCCCCCTGCACCACTCCATCAAGACGGTGGCACCTGCCCTAGCAGACAGGCTACAACTGACCCCAAGGGCTTGCATAAAATGCTCAAACTGGCCTGCATCTTCTTCTGACCCCTGGGTACCTCCTCCTGCTCTTAGTGGGAGATCAGGCAATGGCTGAAATAAAAAACAGCCCCTTGGCTCAAGTCACTCACTTGAGTACAGGTTGGAGATCTGAGGCTGGGTGACCAGGTCTGAGTCAAAGCTGCCCAAGAGGCCTTCTGGGGCCGCCATACAGTCCTGAGGGTCAAGATCATGAGCAAAATTCCAGTCAGATGGTCCCAGATTACCAAAAATAGTCAAGCCCAGCAGTGGCCACTCTTCATTCAGCTGATTACACTGCTCTGGTGGGACACCTGCAGGAGCGAGAGTTATTCCTGAGGGATCTTGCTTTAAATAGCCCTTGGCCAGAGCTGGGGGAGGCCAGCCTGCCTCAGGATCCAGGCATGTCCTGAACTGTGGGCAAAGGCCATCTGTCAAAGGAGTGTCTTCCTCCAAGCAGGCTGCTATGGCTGTCTTCTCTTCAGTGCATCTGGTCTGTTTCAGGTAGCCCTGGAAGGTCACTGTATCTGGGTCTTCTTCTGCAGGGGCCTCCGGCCCTAGGAGATTTATGTGGCCCAAGAGTGAACTGTCCTGTGTGCTCCCAGGTTGCCCCTCAGAGTTTCGGACAAAGCTGATGCCACTGTCATCCTGGCCTTGACTTGTGCTCCCCGCCTTCTGCTTCCAAGGGGGCCCAGAGCCAGGGTTCAGGCTGGGCTCCTGCAAGCAGATCCCACTGTCTGTGCTGCTGCTGCTGCTGCTGCTGCTGCTGCCACCGCTGCTGCCACCATCACTGCAGCTGCCTTGCAGATCTGGGGGCTTCCCCTTTCCTAGAGCACTACAGGCCTGGGGGTGAGGGGTAGGGAGGAAGAAGTGGGGCTCTTCCATCTGCAGGGATGGCTTGGCACTGCCGAAGCCACTGTTCATGCTGCCATGCAGGTTCAAGTGCTCTGGAGACACCTTCAGGAAGGTCTGTACATGTAGAGGGTGAATGATGTCCTGCATCTCTGGGTAGGGCGGCTTGCTGATGAGGATCGAGGGGCTGGGTTTCTTGAAGACCTGAAGAGGAGAGGACAGAGTAAGAGAGGCAGTGGGTCCGGGAGGGGACCTGATGGGGGCTGCAGAGCCTGGGCTGCACTGCAGAGTGCTCATCTGGGTGTGCTTTGGAATCACACCCAGTTTGGCCCAGGAGAAGTCCCTAGGAAGCTGGTGTTCTCCAAGCCCAGATGGAATGGGAGCCTGAAAGGTCTCAGATGATTTCATCCCCATGGGCTTTTCAAACCTGAGAGCCGAATGGACCAACCCTTTCAGAAGTGTGTTTCAAACTTTTTTGATAATGACCCCAAGTTAAAAAAAAACAAAACAAAACATCACATAACAACCAGTATATGTAACTTACATATAAATGGACAAATTTCACAAAATAATACTTATCACCTATGTGCCATGATATATTCTGTCCATGCTATTCTATCCTATCCTACCGAGTTTGATTTTTAAAATTCTGGCTGCAAGACACCAAATTAATTTCTCTACTCGATGAGGTGTGGCCCACACAAAACAGGGTGACTGCAGCATGAGGTGGAGGACTGAGCAGCCAGGGTCCTTATTCCCATTAACTGCTGAAGTCACTCAGTCCTGCCCCTTTTCACTCCCTTGTCCCAGTCATAACACTGGTCTGTCTGTCCCTGGACACATCCAGTGTGATGCTACCTCAGAGCCCCTGCACGTATTGAGCTTTCTCATGAGAGCAGTACTCAGTACTCCGTAAGGCTTGGTTCTCCTATCACTCAGGTCTCAGCCGAAGTCACCTCTTCAGTAAAAGCCTTCCTGATTGCTCTCGCCAGAGAAACGTTGAGCCATTCTCTCTCCATGTTAACCTTGTTTACTGCTTCCTGGTACTTAGTTCCTATAATTATTTTATTTCTTTGGGTTTCTTCTATAATTATTTTATTTCTTTCCCCTCTCAGCATACATATCCACATTCACCCCTCGTAGAACATAAGCCCCTTGAGAGCTGTAACTGTCTAGCCTTGTTTGCCACTCTGACCCAGAGCCTATATTGAGCAGGCACCAACAGTCACTCAGGTTTGATGACTGACTTACTGTTGCATATCTGCCCTCATATTTGGGGTACAGTAGGTCTCTAACTTATAAATGAGTTATGATCTGGAAGAGCTATTTTTAAGAATGATTCATTTCTAAGCTGATAGCGAGTCTTATACAGTACACCTGTGAAAGTTCACAACTTGAGTGTTCATAAGTCAGGGACTAACTGCATTTGATGACTCAAATGTGGCTCTTATTGGTTGAGTCCCTATTACTGTCACCTTGCTTGGTGATTAAATCCCAGCTCTGCCTTTTGTTAACTTTGTCACTTGGGCCAAATTGCTTATCTTCTATGATCTTTAGTTCCTGCAACATGGAATTAATGAAAGCACATGTTTCCTCATGCTGTGGTTAAGCAGGTACCATGGTTAGAACCTTCTGTGGTACATCGAAGGTACTCGATATGCTGAATTGAACTGTGCCCTCTGATAATTCTGTAAGGGAAGTATTATGGCCTCTGTTTCTTAGAGAAAAACTGAAAGAAGATCAGAGTTTCACCCAGCCACACAGCAGCAAAGAGCAAACCTGGAATCTGTACTTAATTGTCCTGCTTTGAGACCCCCTGCTTACCTTGATGGGCTGCTAAATAGAACAGATCAAAGCAGCTGCTGAATGAGGACAAGCTAGGGAACTGTAAGTGCCCCAGGCAGCATAAGTTATTCATATATTTAGTCACGACTGAGGTCATTAGATAAGGGCCACAGGACTGTATTTATCCGGAGGAGAGAACATCCTGGAGGATATTCGATCCTGTGATCCAAAGGCACGGAAGAATCGAACCAGCAGTCATTTGTCTTGTCACCTTTGCTACATTTTTGCATCTGTGTCTCTTTCAGTGTTTTGCATTAAAGCTAATTGTTTACATAGTGGCTGTAGTCAAGCCCCTGGGGACCAGCAACCGCATTAATCAGCTTCTTCCCAGTGACATTTTGCATGTGGTGGGTTTCAGTAACTAGCTCAATTACCACTTGACTCCTCCCAGATGCATCTCCTGACTCCCAGCCAGCAATCTCACCTCCCCCATCACAGCAGGAACTCCTTCTGTCTGCCCTCCAACTATCTTCTCCATCTCTGTCCCTAGATTCAGTCCTGGTTCATGTTTATCTCTAAGCCACCACCATCCTGGCTCCAGACCCTGCATGTGGCACATGCTCAGGGTGCTGTGAAACAGTCCAGTGGATATGTGTTTGTGGAATTGATCTGCCTGGAGCACAGAGAACGGGCAATGACTACATGCTTCAGCCAGAATGGAAATAACTGTAAAACCACTGAGGGCTGTAAGGGCCTCCCGTTCTTTAGTCTCCTCATCACACTTGTCTACGCAGGGTATGGAGCTTGGCAAGCAGCTCTTTCTTGCCTGCAAAGGCCAAACAGTCCTGCTGTGTCATCTCCACCTCTCCTTTCTGGAGTTCTAACTCAAAATAATTTTAGAGAGCCTTTTGTTTGTCTCTCTCCTTGTTTGTTCTGCAGATCCTGGATCTCTCTGCAGATTTCCCTTCCCACTGTGAGCTTCCTTGGGGCCCCTGCTTCCCTTACTGAGCTGGGCCAATTGCAGATGAGCCCATGGCCATCACACAGCAAGGCCAGCTCTGGGGACTGACAGGTGACCTTTGATACAGACTGAATCCAGGACAAAGATGAGCTGAGGTTTAGAAAATGCTGCTCAGGCCTTGCTCATTGAGTGTGAGAGTCTGGGATGCCACGGATACATCCTGCCTGTAAGGGGTGGGGGTCCTGTCCTCCTCCACGAAGCCCCTCCTCCCTCCCTCTCTGACAGCCTCAGCCCTTCTTTCTTCCTCTATTGGAGCCCTCCCTCACGGCCATGAGGGGTGGGAAGATAGGCTGCCTCTCTGACACTTTCTACCTGTAGACCCTGTGCATAGAACAATCTCTCTGTGTCTTAGTGTCCTCATCTATAAAATCAGGACGATAACTGGTACTAATGCAAAGGAGCTGGTCCCAATGCCTCATGGTCACTGGGGTGTATGATTACCCAGTGTGTGTGATTACTCAGTGTGTGTGCGCGTGTGTGTGTGTGTGAGAGTGTGTGTGGTATCTAGGCTATTGGGAAGTACCAGTTCTTGGGTCTGGGCTTTGTGTTCGTTCCTCCTTCTGTCCCAAAGGTGCACCATTCCATGTGGGTGCCTTCTGGTAATGACAGAGTTGATTGGATTGTATGGGAGGGAAAGAGTTCTCTGCCTTCTCTAGGGCTCCAAAGTACCTGGAGGGATGGGGGAGGGCCCAGGAGACTCACCAGGGCAGTGGGAAGTGTCCCTCGGCGCCGCACATACAGGTGGAGGACCAGACAGTAAGCCAGGGGTCCACAGAGCAGCAAGATGAGGGCGAAGAAGATACTAAGGTTGGTCATGGTGAAATCTGCAGGCCCAGAGAGAAGCATTTGTAGGTTGGCACCATGAAACACAGATTCAGTCCCCAGAGACCCCTTCTATTCTTAGGAACCACTCAATAAATGGCCCCAGAACATCCCTACAAGAACTTCTATGTCTCAGTTCTAGATGCATCTAGTTTCCTGTGAATCCCTCTGGACTTTCAACCCCTGCCCTGAAGGGTTCTCTCATCAGACACACTAAGTTGGCCTTCAGCTCCCTTATGTGAGGATACACAGAACAATCAGTCAAAGTTGTACAGCAGATAAGTGCCTGAGACCAGCTTGAAATCACACAGAGCAGGCTATAAAATATTATTGAATTGGTTTATGAATTGGCTGTAGGTTCAACTGTAAGTCTGTTCCAGGCCTACATGACTTGCTAGCCTTCAGCTGGCATGCAGAAACAGAACTCTCCATGCCAAAGGCCACAGATGAGGCCTCAATGGTCAGTGACACTGTGGCAACTCTGATAGCAAGGTAACATTGCAGCTGAGGACTCTGGGACTCCTATGCGGCCATTTGCCCAGAACAAATGTTAGCTAAAGAGAATAAATAGTTAACTTGTTGACCATGACCTGTTTTTCACAGCAATGCACTGTCCCTCTTTACACAGGCCTAGCTCATGTCAGCACCTTCACCTTGTTGTTCCTCACACCTGCCTTTAAAGCCCTGCAATGCTGTGTAGTCAATAAATAGAGGTAAGTTTGGAGCCTTGTGGCCTCCGCCTTGCAAGAGCTTTGACCATCCAGAACTCTCCTTTATGCAGTAAACCTTTATCTTGTCTTATTCTTTTCCTCACCATACCCTCAGTCAGGTGGTTGGTGGGTTGCACAGCCTCTGACAACTGGTGCCCCAAACAGGGGCATTTATAGCTTGATTGAATGAAGGCCACTCAGAGTAGATGCCACTGGAGAGCAGATACAGTGAAGGATTTGTGGGACAGCTTTGGAGATGTTTAGTGAAGGAGAGAGAGGTTAGTGCTCACCACCTCAAATAGGCTTTTAGGTGGGATTAAAGCATGGAGCAGAATATGCCGTCTGAGAAACAGAGATATATATACCATTGCTCCGCATTTTGCTAAAGCAGTCAGGAGCAAGTGTCCTGGCTAATAGCCTATCTAAGGTGTTACAGGAGATTATTAAATATAATAGGTATTTTCTGCAGATGGGGACTTTGGACCCAGAGAGTTGGGATAGAATAGGTGAGAGTCTAAGAAGAGCCCACACTTGGGGAGGTCAACCAGCTCCAGATACTTTCTCAGCTTAGAGTCTTGTGAAGTCAGTGCTAGGACTACGTGCAGTGACAACTACTATAGCTTCCATGTCTCTTCCTGAAGAGAAAAAAGAGAAATTTCCACCTGAGGAGGAAAGCAAAACTCTCTCATGGCCCATGGTTCCAGAGACCCTGGAGGCTAGCAGAGACCATCCCTGACTGTTTAAATATCAGCAATTTGTTTGGCAGACTACACTGATAGGAGATCCCATTGGGCCCTATTGTTTTCCTGTTACAACTGGACAGTATTCTAATAATCCCCAACAAATGATACATAAACATCAGAAAATAAAATACAGGTTTTGAAAGAATTAAAACAGTATAATAACAGAGTTCAAAGACCTTTTTATGTTAGGCTTATTAAAATCTATTCTGAAGGTATTCAAGATCTGAGCACAAGGACCTTGTGCTGTGTTAGAACCCCAATACTGGAGGCTGCAGACTGGCCACTCTGTCTTTAGCCTGGGGCTAAATGACCAAAGTCAAAAAAGCTGCAGTCATGTCCTGCCGGGAATAAGGGGACAACAAGAAAAATTAAATCACAAATTTTAGCTAATTGATAAATGTACTTCTGGTTCTAATTTAAATTGATGTTTAGTTGGTGTGCTTAAAACATTTGTTATACAAGTTTGTGAATTATAATTATAGTTTAGCTTGCTCTTCTCTCTACTCTGTTGATTTAGGATAAGAACATTAATTAAAGGTTGCTGGTCTTTTGACAACCAGTCAAATTTAAAATATAATAATATTTTTTTTAAAAAAGGACACTTTAAAATCCAAGTGGCTGCAGCCAAGTTTGTTATAGAAGGGTTATAATAAGTGAGAGAGAGCATTAAAAAGGTTATAAATAAGACATATACTTTGGATACGTGAGGCTTTTTATATGGTTAAAAAAGTTTTGCATGTTAGAAAGATAAAAAGAGAATGACAAGACTAAAAAGCTTACATATGTTGAGAGAAAGCATGCAAAAGTGATTTATCAAAGGGAATGTATATGTTTGATTGTTAGTTTGGTAAAAGCCAACACTGTTCCTTCCCAAAGATCCTGGTTGCTCAAAAATATATATGGTTGTTTGTTAACTTGATAGAGCTCACACTGTTCCTAAAGCAAAAGTAATGAGAGAACGATGTATGTCACAACAGAGTTAAAAAAAAAAACTAGAAAAACAAAAAGGAGTATGGTTATCTCCACATGCTCAATTATACTTTGTTACTTTGACTTAAAAATTTGAAATTCACTTGTGAAAAGTAAATATATTCCATCAGAACTCCACTGGTACAAACAAGGATGAACCTACAGATACACCCTAGGCACAAGCATTGTGAAAGGATGTCCTAACTAGAAGGTAGAAAAGGGCCCAGTGCAGTTAATGTGGAGATGAGGGTATGCTTGTATACTGACAGATAAGGGAACACCATTATGGTGCCATCCCAGAATGTGTGACCATGGAAAAAAGAGACTCCTAGAGCTGCAGAGAGTCTGCTGCCACCAGGTCCACCAATGCAAACCTTCTCAAAGATGCAATCTAAGTACTTCTAAAACTTTTGACCAACTAAATCCCTTTAACTATTTTAAAGCATACTTTTGGCTTTATATTGGGATGTTTGGAATCATTAGAATTCTTCTTTTGCTTTTATTCATAGTACGACATAGAGGTATTAAGACCAGTCACTGTCGAGATACAATATAGCCTTGACTCACCGATTCAGCATCTGCAACTACAAAAGCAGAAAGGGGGTACTGCTGGGAACCAGCTTGAAACCATGCTGAGTAGGCTATAAGATATCATTGAATTGGTTTATGAATTGGCTGTTGATTCAACTGTAAGTTTGTTCCAGGCCTACATGATTTGCTAGCCTTCAGCTGGCATGCAGGAACAGAACTCTCCATGCCAAAGGCCACAGATGAGGCCTCAATGGTCAATGACACTGGCAACTCCGACAGCAAGGTAACATTGCAGCTGAGGACTCTGGGACTCTTATGCAGCCATTTGCCCAGAACAAATGTTAGCTAAAGAGAAAAAACAGTAAACTTGTTGACCATGACCTGTTTTTCACAGCAGTGCACTGTCCCTCTTTACACAGGCCTAGCTCATGTCAGCACTTTAGCCTCATTGTTCCTCACACCTGCCTTTATGCCCCCTGCAATGCTGTGTAATTAATAAATAGTGGCAAATTTGGATCCTTGTGGTCTCAGCCTTGACTATCGCAGATCTCCCTTTATGTAGTAAACCTTTATATTGTCTTACTATTTTCCTCACCATACCCTCAGTCAGGTGGTCGGGAAGTTGCACAGCCCCCTCTAATAGGTAAGAGAATAGAGGTTTTGGGGGCAGTCTGACATGGGTTCAAATCCCAGCTTCACCACTTTCTGTGGGACTGTGCACCATACTTAATCTTTATAAGCCTTATTTTGTTCATCTATAAAATGGAAAAAATTATAGTTCCTTTCTCATAAGATGCTTGTGAAATATATACCCTTTATCATGTGCCCAGTACTTTCCTTAACATCATCTGATCCTAGGACAGGCTCAGGAAGTAATCATCACTCTCATTTTACAACTAGGATCCTCAGGCTCACAGAAGTTTAAAGTCATGTGCCCAAGATCACACATCTCCTAAGTGATAAAGCTGAGATCAGAACAAAAGTAATTCTTTTATCAATGAATGAATGTTAAAAAAAAAAAAAAAAA